TCAATCGGAATCTTATTATAGAAACCATAAATTAATTTATTTTTGAATACGAAGATCTAGAAGACTAGAACCAATTCTTTTTTTTTTAAATGGGTGCAATATTAAAAATATGTAATTGTCACAGAAAACATTGCTTCAGCACAGAGTCACCGAGGTCAACACGTACCTTTTCTTTTACATACACAACTTGTTCGTTCTTCAAGAAGTTCTCCCAAGCATTCCTGAACTCTGCATACAGTTGCAACACCTCGTCCTTGAAAGGAATGTATTGTTCAATCTTGTTCCAAACGACGTTCCATAACTTCTTACTGTACTGCCTTATGTTTGTTAATACGTCGTTGTTTACCAAATCTTTGTATATCCTGAAAGTTATGATTTTCAGTCAGATCGAAGTAGAGCGGTGGTACCTTCCCAGGTGGGTTTTGCAAAGAGCCCCACCACTAGAATGAAACGGTATGTCTAAGACATTGTTATTAAGTACGTAATATGATTTCGCTACTTTTCAACGTTATTATTGTTTTCATTATTATTATCTCCTGAGAAGAAATATCAAGAATTTGAAGGTTCATTATTTTAAATATTGATAACATAAACAATACATCATGTTCGTATTTTTCATTACATACAGAGTAATTAAATTAGCCCCGATTGCTCTACCAGCCCCCGTAGCATGTCTACGCATGATAGTCGCGTCGCGCGCGATAAAATGGAAATAAGCGCGCGCTATTGGCTGTCTCAATCAGATCTAATTTAGATAGCCAATAGCTTATTTCAATTTTATCGCGCTTCGCGACTATCATGCGTTACCACTCTACGAGGACAGAAAGGCAAAGCAAGTGACGAGACGAACATGTCGTGCGCCTGGTGGTAAGCCCTAAGACTATCAAACCAGTTGCAGTGCCACTGAAAGCTTTAAAACGCAAAGATCTTCGGGGCACTACCACTGCGCCTGTCGCCCAGAGACCTAAGTTGACAAGTCCCATATGCCTGTAATTTTACCAGCACCCTTACCCTTCCAGACCGGAACGAAGTAATGCTCACATTACTGCTTAGCAGCAGAAATGGTAGCAGTACTTCTCTGGAACTCTTTCACAAGGAGCTCTACTGCTGATAAAGTTCCACCGGATAACGATCTCAAAACACCTAACCATTGAATAGCTATACTTTAATCAAGAAAATATTTTTCATTCTAACCTCGACAAGGTTAAAAAATCTAATTTTTTTTACACTTAAAAACGCAACAAACTCACTTGTCCATTTCATGACCAAACGTCGACACATAGTTAAAATATGGATTGTCCGTCAACTCCTGAGTTCTATCATAGAAGAAGTCCATTACTCCTTTCCATAGAGTTACTACAATCGACTCGGTGTAGTGTAAAATTTTGAAGAACAACGGTTCTATTGACTTTAGTAATTCTTGCCAGTATTTAGCAAACCTGGTTGTTGCGTTGACCCAAGTTTCTTCCCAAAATTTCAAAAACTTGATATGCAAGTCCCTTACAAAGTTGTCGTACTGTAATATGATTGCCTCCAATTTATCCGATACTAGTTCCATAAAATCAGCTTCCAAAATCTTGTTCATAGAGTCCAAAAAATTTGCATAAGCCATCTTAACACTGTCCACAACGAATGTTAGACTTTGTTTAATAGATTGACTTGTATTGCCCATCATGCCCCACATGTCATTGATGATTCCAGGCAGATTTTCCAAATGATTCCGTATAGCCATCTCGTCAAGCACATAATATGTAAACTCTACTACATCTTTGACGTAGAAGTCGTTATTGTTGTAGGATTCGTTTAAAAATAGCTCAAAGTCATCTAAATCATCTTTTATGACGTGTAGATCGTTTAAATCGTCTAAGAAATCACGGATTCTTGGTTTAGCGTCCGACCAAATGTTCTTTAATGCAGAATGAGCTTCCATAGGCGCTTCCTTTAGGATTACAAGAGTATCATTTATTTGGGAGTACAATAGCTTTAGAGTGTAAATGGCTTGACCCTTCACTTGACTGAAAATCTGTGGTCTCCAAATAATTGAGCTCGTAAGGAGTCTCGAGTGATTCAATCTGATGTATGATGCGAGATCAACTGTGGTGATTTCATCAAAGTTGCGCCAGGCGTCTAGTTTTGCGGACCTTGTGTCTCCTATACGGCCTACCATGTGGTAGGATATATCTGTAACAAAAAATTTAGTTGCGATTTAGCACGTTAGAAATTAAACCATGTATTTTTTCGGATCTATGTCGTGTATATTGGTTTTATTAAACAAACCAACCATTTTCAATAAACTTTCTGTGTGGATGAACAATTGGCACCAAAATATAACATGGCCTGACGAATTACAACATATTCTCTTAATATACATGTCGGAATCGTCAGACCTTAGAACTGAATCCTCAGCCATCGCTAGAGCAGATTTAGGGATCGCGTAGTGAGATTCCGTTTAACGGTAACACTGTATATTTTAATCGATATGAAATCGAATAACAACTTGTACTTTCTATTAATTTTGACAATCAGAATAGGCACTAGGCGAAACGTAGGACAGTTTATAGGTTGCGTGTGTGCAGCTCGAGAGTCCAACCACTACTGTGTCCTCTCTCGTCTACCACCACCGTTCCCCACCCAGACTCAGTCGAGGTCTATCGGCAGAGGGACGCGCGATACACTCTGTAACCTGCAGGTAGCGCTTCTGTCTAGCCATTTTTTGTCCGTGCTTATGGCCGTTTCCGACATGTTGGATTATATGCAAAAAAGGGCTTAAAGAACGCCAAACTGCAGGCTTAACATGAGCCCGAAGACAAAAGTTATCTCTTCTTCGACGACAGTTCCAAGAAGAGATAACTTTTGTCTTCGAGAGAAAATTGACATTTCGAAGAGATAACTTTTGTCTTCGGGTTCAAGCTAAGCCTGTTAGTTTTCACATAACAACTCGCAACATATTACAGCAAAGGAGCGATAATTTGCTAGACAGCCGAGATCGGCAAAGTGCCCGAAATGTTGGGTTGTTTGAAAAATCAAATACAAATATCTTTCTCCTCTTATACAAATATTATCTCTAAATGTCTTTTCATATTCTTATAGCTAATATAAAGACCTATAGTTATAACTGAACCCTCAATATTTTGACGAAGTTATTTCTTCTACTGACCTCACGAATATTGATGGTCCAAAATTAACGTGGGAGTCTTCAAAAGGTGTTTTTATATAAAACCTAAGTGACGGGACAAACAAGAGGTGCGCCTAATGGTAAGCGACATGTCTGTTCATAACAGTTGCCATTCAGAGCTTTAAATCACAAAAATCCGAGGGGCACTGCCACTGCGCCCGACACCCTAAGACATAACGTGACAAGACGCATGTGCGTGTGTGTAATGTGTAATAATGTAAAGGCGGCAGAAATAGGTAAGTGGTGATAGTACTTCTCTGGAACTCTTTCACAAGGAGCTCTATTGCTACAAACTATTTATTAGTGTAACATATTATACGTACCATCCGTACTATTATAATGTGCTATAAATGATCTGTCCTTCATAGACAAGGTAGCTATGCCCGTGTCGTTGCCTGTAGGTCTGAGCACCCATGCAAGCACTCTATAGTTAGGATACGTGAGATCCCAAGTGCCGTTGGCTCGGTAGAAATAAGTTTCGTTTGCGCGCTGCAAAAATAAAATATCGGGCCATAGTGTGTCTAATTAATAATACAAAGATCGAAGACAAACACACCTTCTATCTGACATGACTTGAACCTGCTTTTGTATACAAAACTAGGGCCACATGGCAATTGAGTTTACACATCGAGTCAGCACAACTTATGATTTTCTCTAAGTGTTTGTTCTCGACTTTTATCGTCGTAAGCTTGTGAGAGATCTATGAAGCTGCTTACACAGCCGATACCCTTGCAGCTACCAGATAGATACCTCCATTACACACTACGCCAACTATGTTTTTTGGTCATTATCTGTTATTTTTGTAAACAGCCATATTTATATGCGAATATTATGCTCCTCAAATTTTGTGAAAAAAAATTGAACAAAAATAAAAACAGAACAGGTCCAAAAATTAAGTTGGCGTAGTAACTCATTGGAGGTATCAAGATACTAATTTGGGATGTTGCTGCATTAATTATTATTGTAATATTGATTTTTATAGTTTTTTATTTATTAAACAAACTTGTGCACGACAGCACCATTCTTTTTGAACTCTGCTGGCTCCCCTCCAAACTACAAAGAGACAATGTTATTAAAAAAATAGGTAGGTAGCGGAGCGGCAACGTGCCTCTTTCCCCACGGAACGATTAATTGTATAGTTATAAAGACAGTGTGTCTCTTGCTTTAGCCAGGAAATTTAAATAATTTGGAGTGAAACAAAATATCACTTACCTCGTATTGCACTGCACTTTTATTCATATCAACCAACAATTTGTTATGTCTCAACTTTTCATAGAACAAAGTTTTTTGGAATCTATAGTAATTATTCAAATAATACCACCGGCTATGTATATTTATATCTGATTTCATATCGAGGTTCAAATTTGTTGATGGATGAGTACACTTGAGTGCGAATTTGTAATCCCTGATAGGTCCATTTGAGTTATCCGTGAGGATAGATTTTAGTTTTAAGTACTCGTTCTCGTAGTCTGAATATTGGAGCTCCATTGTTATATTTGACATTATAGCTGGCGTTGAGGTGTATTGGCCTTTGAGGGTTACGTCCTGGAACAAAATAAATTATAATAATGTGCTTCTAAAAGAAGAGAATAAGAGCTACAATGGGATGCTTAAAGGACATTCTGTAAGGGCGCGTTCCCACTATGTCGTCACGTTTTATTATCGTTGGATGACTGTCGTGTCTACCCTGTTCCCATATCACGAGTATCTGTCGTGGACGATTTTTTATCGTTGAACGACTGTCGTGACTAGCTGTTCCCACTAGATCGTGACGACAATTGGAGCTGCGACAATCTGTCGTCACGTTTTTATATCTGTTCCCACTGTTGTCGTTGTAACGATACAAAATCGTGAACGACAGTTAAATCGTGTCGTTCTATATGTGAACAACTTCATTTAAATATACAAGCCCCGACACTGTAAACTGCACGACAATCTGTCGTCACGACATAGTGGGAACGCGCCCTAACAAGGGACTTTTCATTTTATGTCAATTTTTTTTTACAAAAATTGGACGGATTGAACGGCTGCAGTTTTTGTTGTCAAGTTTACATGAAACTGTTTAAAAGACTGTAATATGCTTGAGAAAGAGCGAACACCATTCTATTAATCATGTTTGATTTTGTATAAACGTGTTGGGAGTTGTAAAAATAATAAAAAATTGTTTCCACTACAAGTTCCATTTGATGATTAATTTTTTTATGCTTTTCACAAAATTTTCTCAGTGCATCACATATATAAAGCAAGCTCTACAGAATACCGGCCTATTTCAAAATCACCCAATTCATAAGATTAATGGTTTATAATCAATTGAGATATATCTTGCAGAGCAAACTTTTTTACCACTGGAAAGCTCTGTGTCTTAATCACATCGAGTATATAACCAGACATAGAGACGAAATGTCATTTAATAAGGTTTGAAAACTATTCTGCCAAATCATTACGATGACAACTGCGCTCCGATTGGCCAGCTCTAATTCGAAACAATTGACGGGTGTCGTCAATTGTTTCACTTCAAATGACCAGTTCAACTTGAGCTTTGCTATAATGGACGAAAATTGAAAAATTACATATTAATATTTAATTACCGATGAAATGTGATTCCGTTTGTTTTGTAATTAGATGTTTTGTTATTTTTCCCACACCACCTAATAGAACAGCCCTCCATAGTTACGTACACACAGGTCAGTTGTTGACTGACCATTTGCCTGATTAGTAGCCAGGAATGGATGGCCCTTATTTCGTCTCCATTTCTGGTTAAATACTCGACGCTTAATCACGACAAAATTTAGCGCATTCTGCGTATATCATAACAACGGCTACAAGGGTACGACCACTTCACGCTTCCACTAATTTGTTATTCCGTGTTGCGAATGTGTGCGTCTGTATACGGCGCGCGGTGGGCGCGTACACATACAAGCTGCGCTGTTACGTTTGTATGGAGTCACTCTACTTGTTTTATTATATTATGTTTTTAGTGTGAATTTATAGTGCTTACCTTCTTGAATGACGGATGCGAAAGCGACAAATCCACAAAATGCAAACTGCCCTCAGTCTGAGGCGGGCTTTCCCACCGACCATTCAATTCGGCCGTCTTATTCTCATCCTTCACATTCCAGCTAAGAGTCGCCTTACCGTCGAGTAGCGAGTCTTGCAAGTGGTATAATGCGACTAAATTGAACGTTCGCAAAGGATACCACACATTCATTATTAGTTGCTGGGACTCAGTTTCGTCCTGAAATATAATTTAATATATTAAATATATGTGTCAAAATAACACTTTTTTATAATATCAAGTGACGGGACTAAATAAGTCATGGGCCTGATGGTAAGCTAACGCCTGTCCTTAAAACACAGCCACACACAAAAACACATCTTAAACGAAAAATGCCAAGAGAGACCTAAGGCCATCTATACTTATAGTTTTAACTCTGCAGGCCTACTTTATTGCTCTGTTTATGATCGGGCATTAAAACAAAATTAGCTATGGCGAGTCATATTATGGTGGCACTTCATATGGCTATTTGTAATTTGCGTATTTAATTTATTTTGCAAACAATCACCATGTGTAGGCAGCATGTGTGACAAACTATTTGCCTTATTTGCCTATTTGACAAATACAGCAAACACCAAACACGCGTTACCGCGCGCTGGTCGGTTTCTCGACGCACATCAAAGGAGTCAAATAGGCAAATAAGCAAGTAAATCGACCACACTGGTCATATTCATTATTTTGATTCTTTATTTGCATCCACGTGTAGACGGCCATATTTGTCGGTGTCTGCCAATAGAAGCCCAGAGAAGTACTACCATCTTACCTATTTCTGCCACCAATCTGTCATGTGAGCATTACTGCGTTTCTGTTTTGAAGGGTGAGGGTGTTGGTGAAATTACAGACACATGGGACTTGTCAAGTTATGTTTCAGGGTCACAGGCGCAGTGACAGTGCCCCTTAGATCTTTGTGACTTGACTGAGTGATACTGCAATTGTTATGGACAGGCGTGTCGCTTACCATCAGACGCACGACTTGTTCGTTGCGTCACTTGATATTATAAAAAAAAGCCATGGGAAGTGCCACCATTAGGGCACATGCTAATAACTAATTTCAAAGGGTCGCTGTTATCGAAATCGATAAGGAGAACTATTTAGCAATACTCATAATATGATATTCCCGCGAGTTTGTTAGTGTTTTATAAATTACCCAGTACAAATACACTTACCGAAGTAGTCAAATTAGTAACATGTATATTGTACTTCAGCCAAACATCTTCAGCCCATGTCACTTTGCTACCCTGTTTCAGCTCATGGTCGACAGTTTCGTAGTTATTGTCGAATGTCCAAGTTCGATTTCCGTGTATAGCAGTCAATTTGAGATTCTTGCCAATGTTGTACGTGTATACATCTAGTTTTCCGGTTACGTTGAACTTCGTTGCGTCGTAGAGGTGAAATACCGTTGCCTGTTTTGCATCCTGTTGGGAAATAGTAAAGTAGTAAACACTAATGGTTAAACTAAATGGGTATCCATGCGAGGATGACGCTGGTATCATTTGAAACTGGAAGATGCCTTGATTTATTGCTCTACCCAGCCTGCTGTGAAACATCCCGCTTCAGGCGGTTGACGTAACGAGTTCTTAGATATTCGCGATTGTTACATATAGGAAATGAAATTATATTTTGGATCAAAATCGCGTATAGGCACGTTTTACAGGTCACGGTATATGGTCACGGGTGATTGTCAGGCAGTAGTGACCATGGGACCAACTTTAGGCCCCGAAACGTTGGTTTGTTTGAAAAAACAAATATACGTGATTTAAATCCGAAAAAATGATCACTGCGAAAAATAGTTTCATTTTCAATTTGACTTAAGCTAATTACCGGGAATGGTATATCTTGA